GAGGATCATCAGAATCATCGGATTGGCTATCCTCATTTACAGCATGACCAGCAGCAGCGGGACTTCCAGGCGCAGGTTGATATTCCAGTGTGCCATCGTCATCGTCATTGAAGTAACTAAAATATATTGGTAAAGATATAATTTATTCTTTAAAAAATGAGCAGCAAATAAATATCTGATAAGTAAAGAAGGCATACTCATCTTCTTCCTGTATTCTTCTTTTGCCTAGATTTGAAAACGCCCGTGTACCAGTGGAGGCAGAGGCTGCATTTGTCCCAATGCCACCAGACATTAGAGTGCCAGAACCATACACCAACTTGCTTGTGTCTGTATAGCCTTGACTTTCATTTCTCAAAGCAAAGGAAGAGGGCGGCGGTACAGCAGCCTTTCCTCCGTGAACAATTTGAGTTTTTGAAGAACTATTCTTGTTTGTATCGTTTGCCGAGCTTCCAGCAGCCAAAAAGTTCATCCCCCATCTTCCGCCACGGTTTCGACTGTATGACATAACCTAGTACTGGAAAAAGACTGGAATATACAATCTTAATAGTAGTCAGAATACGAACCGCTCTATACATAAAAATTGATAACATATCTGGGCGGAAAAATAGTAAATAAGCATTGGCCAGTTCAGAACAAAATCCGATGGATAAATTGAGGTTTAATATGAAGCAGTAACTAGTGGTGCTATACAGAATCGTCATTAACGTAAGCTCGCCAAGCTTTTTGTAATGCCTAGAGAGTCAGACTGTATAAAGTCTATACTAACAAGGCAAGGTTAAAAAAATGAGTATTACTAGGGTAAGCTATGATAAACAAGGCATATAAGCGATTTAGGTACCCTTTACACCGGCAGTAAGATATTAAGATAAAACAAAACAAAAATCAATTAGCTTATGGACAAAAAACAAAACGTCTCGCACGAAAAAGAGCATAACCTAGTGAATCAATATGAACAAAAACGTCTGCGATGAACAAGATGCAAAACTCGCGGCTGAATGAAAAAAATCCACCACATTCAAGACTTTACGTTACTTTAGTTTAAAATGTTAATTATTTTAATATAGTATTTATTATAGCTTAACAATTAGAGACATCATTTTGTCTGCTATTTTTGAACTCCTATTCACGCCAATCATCGTCCTTCCTACGTCGTGGCAATTTTTAATCTATAATTCGGCAATGCGAGTCTACGTGCACTAAGCTATTCATATTATATGCTTGCTCTGATTAATGGCGAGTTTTAACGAAAGTACAACATTGGATTTAAGCAGACAGCAAATAAATGAATTCAAAAGACGTCTTCCAATATGGCAATATCGAGACGAGCTTCTCAATGCTATTCGCTCTAAGCCGCACAGCGTCATAGTCTGCTCTACTGGATCAGGCAAGACCACTCAAATACCTCAATTTCTCCTTGAAGCTGGTTATGCTAAGAGTGGTGTTATCGCCATTACCCAGGTGAGATGCTTAAAACCCTGTATTGTTTGTATGTGTTACATATGCATGGTATAGTGTGTACTTAATCTAATCATACGTGTATCTGTGTTTCTGTTAGCATCAGCTATAGTGACATTAACATATCATTCATTAAAATATCATGACCTACTTTTGTTCTGATTTACTGGCCGGTACTTATGAATTTATGATTAACCTCATATATTTGTAGTGACTATATTTGTAATGATCCCAGTTGTTATCTTCTGGACTTCTCAATACGCGCTTCCATGTACTTAATTTTTAACACGTTCGTTTATATAAGCAGAATGCCTATAAAGTTGTTTTTTTTATCAAAGTATGCTTAGAATTAGTA